TTTTTTTTTTTTTTTTCGTGGGTTGCGCTGTATCGAGATTTTCCGCCCCTCGTTCGCGTTTCTTGGTGCGCTTGGTCCTAAACTCTAGTGGTAAAGCTTACTGCGATATCGCTGAGGCTCTTCCCATGCCTTCCCTGGTCCGTTAACCCGTAATTTCGCCACTCTTCGTTTTCTCCTAGTTTTTGTGCCTTGTTTTCCCGCATTGTCGAGTACGTTACACTGTATCGGTGTTTTGCTTATCTCCCGTCGTTTCCTTGCAGTATATCGCAACCTAACAAACTTTAGTATTCTTATTATTGTGATGTTATGAGAAGGGTATAATTCATGATAAATTTTCGGGAGAAGGGGCTTTCATATCTGTTTAGGTTTTATGTTTTCTATTTAAACAGTATTTTGTTAAGGAAATCGTATTAAAGGAAAATTGGTTTGTCATGTAATTTGCAGCTGTAAATGAATAGCATGGTCTAATTTAATTTCTCTTCTTATCCTTCTGGATGGGTTCCTTGTGGTTTCTATCTCGCCTTCCCTGGTCCGTTAATCGGTAATGCTGCCACTGTAGATTCCTCAAAGCATTTCGTACCCCATGTTTTTTTACTGGGCTACGCTGCATCAATATTTTGCGTTTCTGCCCCATTTCCTCGCTTATTTTGGCGTGAATCCAAGTTATTACGCCCTCTGCACTTTGGTTGGGTGTGGTGAGATTTCTTAATTGCCTCCCCTGGTCCGTTAACTCTGCATTCCTCCCTGCATTTTGAACCCCTGGTAACACGCGTTACACCATGTGCAATTTGCGTTCTTGCGCGCATTTCCTCTGAGCGTTTTCTGTGGTTTGTCATACTGGGAAGACAAAATTACAAGATTTACTGTCAGGCTCGAACTCCTGAAAATCATGCATTCCTTCCCGGCATGCATTTACTAATCTGCTCTTTGCGCGAACAGATCATATTAGTAATGGAATACTGGGAGTGAATGACTTCCAGGGTGAACTGTGGATTCTTAGCCAATGAGAAAAGAGATAATGACCACAGTGTGTGATAAAAACAATGAACTTTATTTACCTTAATTCTACACATTACGGTTCCGCTAGAAATCAGTGGCCCTCAAACAAATAACTAAAGTGAAATATAAAACGGATTAAGAATATTATAATATGCAACAGAGATAAGCAGAAGTTGATCGAAATTAAATACAAACGTATCATCGCATTGCAATCATAGAAATGATGCCGTCCCCAAATTATTAGTCAATAGTAAAATGGTGGCGAAAAGTGTTCTAAAATGTGTGAGTTTTTCAAATTACTACCTAAACTGAGT